TAGCGCTCAATTAGTGCTCAAGTTTTTTGAATTTTTTTTCATATGTTCGGCACACAAAATATCGAAATACAGACCAAACTGTGCGTTTTCTAAACTGTAGGCAGACTCCGCAGCAGGCCAAAATCAGATTTCTCGCGGAGTCCACAACATTTTTACTTTTCTTTGATCTTCGCTGCTGTTTTGGATTCCACGGACAAACAGGTAAAACACTGTACTGCTCAAAATCGCTCCAAAAGTCAGCAACTTCGCAGAATCTGCAACAAAATTGGTTGAATCTGGAACGTTTTGTGGAATCCAGGAATAAACAAAAACCCATGTGTTTAGTTACTTAAGCAGTAGTGCAATCCGCAACTGTAAGTGGAATCCGCATAATATCAGCGGAATCTGCAAATTGTAAGCGGATTCCACTTACTTTGCGTAATCCGGACCAACTACCTCAACATATATACTTGTACAAAAAATCTTGCGTGCTCAAAAATTTCGTTGCTTGAGTAACAAACTTGCTCGCATTAGGGTGAAGCTCTGAATGTCTGTCAAGCCACAAAGTCTGTGACTCAGCAAACGATTTTAGAAAAAACTCAGACAGTTATTATTTTAATGCATCATATAACCCCAAATAGGTTTCCTCCGCTTAGTTATAAACAAAAATCTTGGATAAAATGGCTGTATTAAGAACTGTTTAAAATATGCACTAATTAATCGAAACTGGACAAACGACCTGTTTTCAGAAAAGAATTATTGGACAAAAATTGACCTCGAGTAAAAACTTTGATTTAATTTCAGGCTCAGGGAATCACATTTTTCAGACAATATAAATTTTATTCGTTTTGATAAACATTTGCATTGAGTATACGCAATTTTTATGGTGAAACAAACCAGCCAAAACACGAAAACTTGGTCGTTTTTTTTTAATTTAGCGCAAAAGCATTGAAAAAACGACATGAATATAAGTTTTTAAGTGAATAAACTCGGAGACAACATTAACGCCCAGCCAAGCAACTATGTTTTTACAACAAAAAAGTTATGAAGACTACCCCTATCTGAGAAAAGCCAAAAAGAACAGTCAGGAGCAATATGAGAAAACTTTGACTTCGTTTAATGTATATTATATAGTTTTTGAAGCAATAGCCGATTTAAAAACGGTTTTCATTTTGTGATGATTTAAAAATGTTTTAATAAAAAAGTAGCTTTTAGGTGAAAAAATTTGGAGACAAAGATTAAAAACCAGCCAAGCAACCATGGTTTCACAACACAAAAATTATGAAGGCTACACCTAGCTGAAACAGCCCAGCAAGAATATCAGTGAGGAGCATTATGAAAAAACTTTGACTGCGTCTAATGTATATCATATAGTTTTTGATCCAATACCGGTTTAAAAACAGTTTTCATTTGTAATGATTTGAAAATGCTTTATAAAAAATGTGTTTTTCAGGTGAATGACTTTGGAGACAAAAAATAATGTCCAGCAAAGCAACTGAGGTTTCCCAACTTGAAAATTACGTGAACTGCCCCTATCTGAGGTAAGCCTAGCAAAAGAGCAGTCAGGAGCAGTATGAGAAATTTTTGACTGCATTTAAAGTAATCATATAATTTTTAAAGCAAACACCGATGTAAAAAAAGTTTTCTTTTTGTAATGATTTGAATTTTTTTTTAATGTTTTTTTAATGTGAATAATTTTGGAGACAAATATTAACGCCCAGCCAAGCAACCATGGTTTCACAACACAAAATTATGAAGACTACTTTAGTTGAGAAAAGCCCAACTTTTTAGTCTACTGAAGGCCTTCAATAGTTTCTTTTTCCAAACACTTTTCGATATGAATTAAGGGGCAGACTGGCAGTCCCAAGACTTCTCGACCGGTGCCCTTATGCAGTCATTTTTTCTACAATTCTTCTGGGAAAAAAACGGGACTGCTAGAATATCAGGGAAAAGCCCTGAATGTTCCGCTGCCCCATAATTCATATCGAAAAATTTTTGGAAAAACAAACTATTGAAAGCCTATAATTTTTGTACAATATCAAAGTGTGAAATTGTGAGTCGGACGAAACTAATACGAACAATTAGCTAGCCTCAGTTCGAGTTTGAACGAGTTGGTTGTGTGGGATAGTTTGCCGCGCATAAATAATAAGCGTTATGCTTTCATTATTTTCAATAAAATTATCAAAGCGCGCATTATTTAATCCAGATAATGGTCAATTTGGCAATTTTCAAGCCCCCAGAACTTTACAAAATAACTATGAAAAATATCTTTTCAAATTTTAATTCATGCATTCGATATCTTCATTGAGTTATAAAAATAAAACATTTGTTGAAAACAAATGTTTCGATCGGCAAAAATTGACTGAATAAAAAAGCTACACCGAGCATAAATAATCCGTTTTTTTCAAAGATAGGAACAGAAACCACGCGGGCATAAATATTCATCGCCTGCTTCGAAAGTCAGAATAATAAAAGTACATCACATAAAATCTGTGGAGATTTGAAAGTTTACGGAAGAAAGCTCTATCATACAAAAATCGTGGACCTGAAAAGTTAGTCGTGCAACTGCCTTTATCGGAGATAGTCGTATAGTTTTTATGCAATTTTTAAATTTATAAACTTTATGGGCATTATATGAGGACTGCCTTTTTCCTAGCCTTTTTTCCTGGATGAAGTTGTTATTGAAATTGAAAAAAAAATAGCTTGAATTTTGCTTGGCGCATTTTATTATTTCATATTTGTAAGTGTTTCACCCTGTTTTCATCATGACGATGGATATAAGCAAAAAGAGCCATGGTACTAGAAAAAAAAATTCTTGTAAAAAATAATTATGGGAAGGAATTTCTTTCAGCCAAATTGGAACGATTGCTAAAACGAATTAAATCTCCGCTTACACTTTAATAGCGCAAAGTATACCGCGTGTTAATTGTCCCAAATTGGCCGGAATGGCACTCTTTAAACCCCCATAGTTTAATGAAAAAACATTACAGGTGAAAAAAAATTTCAAAGTTAAGCTCAAGACAATAACATCTTTTGAATGATTTTTTTTAAATTCTTTCAAAAATGGCTTGCTACAAAATCAAATTTTATCTGAAGAAACAACCAACCCGAGCACAAATATTCGGTTACTTTCGTTACGAAATTCGAAACAACAAGGCTGCTCGTATCAGGCCGCTTCCATGATTTTTCCAACTGCCCATTAATTGGTCTTGAATCGTTTTTGTTTCACAAATATTGACAAACTGCAAAATTTACCTGATCAAAGTGTTATTTCTTGAGTCGTTTTTTGGAATCAATAAGATCAATTAGCTTGGTTCAATTCAACGGAACGATTGAAAGTCCGTAAAATTGTCATGCATAAATGCTTTGCGTATTGAATCAATCTATCAAACTATTATTCCGGCCAGCAAAGCCACCTTTTAGTCTACAGAAGGCATACTCGCTTGGCAATCCCAAGATTTTCCGATCGATGCCCATATGCAGTCAACTTTTCCAAAATTGGTCTGAATAAAAACAAGATTGCTCGCATATCAAGGAAAAGCGCTGAATGTTCCGACTGCCTCTAAAATCATATCAAAAAGTTTTTCGAAAAAAAAAATAATGAAAACCTATAAGTTTTGGAGAAAATCAAGTGCAAAATGTGAAATTCTGAGTCCATCAAAATGAACACCACTATTAGCTAGCCTCATTTCAATATGGAGCAAATTTGGTGGGCTGAATAATTCGTCACGCACAAATAATTCGCGTTACGCTCTCGACATTTTTCTAATAATTTCTTCAAAGCGCGCGTTATTTAGTCCAGAACATGGCCAATTTGCCAGTTTTGGCCAAGTTCTGGACCCCCAGAACTTTACAAAAAATATTTGCAGGCAAAATATTATTTCAAATTTGAATTCATGCAGTCGATATCTTCATTATGTTAAAAGTTGGCGAAAATTGACTGAAAAAAAAATCACACCGGCATAAATAGTCCTTTTTTTTCGAACAGAAACCACCCCGAGCATAAATATTCATCGCCTGCTTCGAAAGTCGGAATAATAAAAGTACAACACTTAAAATCTTTGGAGATTTGAAAGTTTACGGAAGAAAGCTATATCATCGTGGATCGTGAAAAGTTAGTCGTTAATTTCCCATTATCGGAGATAGTCGTATAGTTTTCATGCGTTTAAAATGAATAAAATGTATGGGCAGCAATATATGTGAATTGCCCGTTTTTGTAGCTTCTCCTGGGTGAGGTTGTTATTGAAATTGAAAAAAAAATTCCATCATTTTGCTTGGCCCAATTTAATATTAATTGGGAACTGTTCACCCAGTTTTCATCATGAGGGTGGATATAACCAAAAAGACCATGCCTCCAAACTAAGGGTCTGAAAAATTGATACATTCAGAAACAATTGCATCCATGAAACTCGTTTGTGAACAATTGCATCCATGAAATGACTTGTTTCATTAACTAAAAAAACTAAAGCTTACGCACTTAAGAAATTAAATTCAAAAGTAAACAAGGGTAACCGGTTACTGTGCAAGTAGCAGAGAATGTTCCGACCATAGTCTTTAGAAAATTAGGGTTCAGAAAGTTTTTTTCCAAATTAAAGTAGATCTTTCTGCTTGGTGTGATTTGACGTAAAAATATAATTTAGACATATTAGACTGTCAAAAAATATAGGCAAATTGGGCAAAAAATTTTGTAGAAAATTGACTAGAAAAACTTAAAAAATCATAATTTTTTTTTTAATTTTTGAAGTTTTTGGTTCCCAAAGTGAAGCTAGAAAACTCTGAAACTAGTTTTTTTTGCTTAAAACTATGTTTTAAGGACTTAAATTAGGCTTAAATTGGGCATTTCAGCTGTTGTAATAAGCCTGCTCGCTTGCTTTATTCGCTCGACTAATTGAGACGAAAAATCAAAAATTTCAAACTGGTTTTTCTCAACACTAAAAAAAATTGAGATTTTTCTAATGTGGTTCGAATCACGACTGAAAGAGCTGTAATATGATAGATCACTCAACCCAGTCCGATGATTATTTGTGGTACCTAGTTTTGCATAGAAAACAAAAAGAAAAAAAACTAAAACGCACCCGAATACAAAGTTCCTCCCCATTTTCAATGGTCGGAACAAAAAAACAAACGAGCGAGTAAGAGAAAGATGCAACTCTTAATCAAATCAAGCTTTGAAGTTCCAATAGGGAAATTTCAGTTTTTCGCGTAGCAGTAGAATGCGGTTATGCTTCCGAGCAAGATGAATTTGTGTTTGACTAGGCAAGTTTTTCCCATAACTGTTAACTAAAATGTTCTACAAGGGTACAGATCTCAAGGTGGCGCTGCTGATTCTGCTTGATGTCGATACTTCCGATGCCCTCTGGCTGGACTTTCTCGAACTAGTGGCACTCGGAGAAGCGGCAGCCGATGTCTTCCTGGGCCTAGTATTGCTGCCAAATGTCGCAGACGACCTATTAGAAACTCTTTTTGCTTTCGGAATACTTTTCAATTGGCCAATTTGTCTTTGAAGAAACATGTTTTCCCTTTCCAGTTTGTACAAAACTGCGTCGAGATGGGAGTTCGAATCCCGCTCAGCTCTCAACTGCATCTGACTGGCAAAGTCTCTAAAAAGATAAATCTTAGAGTTTCTAACTCGAGCAGTTGACAGAAGTTCGAAATTCTGAAAATGGGGTTAAAATATTAGTGCGATTCTGCGGGTAAATGAAAACAATAGAACTCTGTATAATTAACATCACAATGGAAACATGTGATGTTAATTTGTTCCATGGATATTCAATATAATAACTGCTGCCTAAGTATCTACAATTTATTTAGAATTAACAGCGCATGAAAGTAAAGAAAAAAGGAACAGCTCGAATAGCACAAAATTCGACTGGCAGAAAAGCTTGATAACAGAAAAGCGTGCAGTGCTGAAGAATTTTCAACCAAAATTTTGCAACAAAAAGTCATCACGGGGTCACTAAGCTGTGCTCTCAAAATGGGCACTCTTTGGTGCGTTTTTCTCTCTGGTCTCTGCGTTCATCCCTTGAAACATGAAAATTTCAAAGTAAAAAAACCACGAGTCAAGTTATCCCGGAGTCCACAGACAAATGGTTATAATGTAATTTCTGTCGGCTTATTTATTGTTCCGACTTTCGATACGAAAGTAACGGAATATGTGTGCTCGGGGTGGTTTTTTTTTCTTTAGACAAATTTCGACTTTTTAACTAGCCATTTTTGACGGAATTTTTTTTTTATATCATTCAAAAGGTATTGTTCTCCTGAGCTCAAATTTGAAAAGATATTTCACCTGTGATCATTTTTCGTAAAGTTATGGCGGTTTAAAGATTGCCATTTTGGCCAAATTGGGACAATTAACGCGCGATATATTTCGCGCTATTAATGCGTGAGCGGAGAATTAATTCGTCTTAAAATCGTTCCAAATTGGTTGAAAGAAGCTTATTTGCCATAATTGATTTGTTACAAGGAGTGAAATCTATCCTTTTGTACTTTATATGGCGTGTGGTGAGATGATTTTCATAAAAAATTTCAAATTTTAGAAAAAAAATTTTTAGTTTTATTTTTTTTCACATTTTATTTTTTAATGTTTTTACTTCGAAACTAGTTTTCCTCGCTTAAAACCAAGTTTTAAGGAATTAAATTAGGCTTAAATTGGGCATTTCAGCTTTTGTAATAAGCCTGCTCGCTTGCTTTAATCGCTCGAATTGAGACGAAAAATCGAAAATTTCAAACCGGTTTTTCTCCCGGAGTCCACAGACAAATGGTTATAATGTAATTTCTGTCGGCTCATTTATTGTTCCGACTTTCGATACGAAAGTAACGGAATATTTGTGCTCGGGGTGGTTTTTTTTTCTTTAGACAAATTTCGACTTTTTAACTAGCCATTTTTGACGGAATTTTTTTTATATCATTCAAAAGGTATTGTTCTCCTGAGCTCAAATTTGAAAAGATATTTCACCTGTGATCATTTTTCGTAAAGTTATGGGGGTTATAGATTGCCATTTTGGCCAAAATGGGACAATTAACGCGCGATATATTTCGCGCTATTAATGCGTGAGCGGAGAATTAATCCGTCTTAAAATCGTTCCAAATTGGTTGAAAGAAGCTTATTTGCCATAATTTATTTGTTACAAGGAGTGAAATCTATCCTTTTGTACTTTATATGGCGTGTGGTGAGATGATTTTCATAAAAAATTTCAAATTTCAGAAAAAAAAATATTTAGTTTTATTTTTTTTTCACATTTTATTTTTTAATGTTATTACTTCTCCATAAAACTTTAAAAGGCAGTCGGAACATTCAGGGCTTCGCCCTGATACGAGCAGTATTTTTTGTTTTTTCGTTGGACCGAGCAATTTTTGCAAATGTAAAGTGTTGAGAATTCTTTTCGCTCTTGTCAGCGGATTCCTCTTCTTGCTATTGAATTCCGCAAGCATACAAGCGATTTGCATGTAAAGCTTAAAACATAGAGCCACCTCAAGCGTAAACAAATAAGCGTTACGGATATCATGAAAAACGAAATGGGAAGTTATAATCATACCCCTCCGAGAAAATACTTTATTTCTTACCTGAAATACTTTATATCTAATCTAAAATTCTGGTCAGAAATTTTTTATGAAATGATTATAAAGCAGTGATTTTATGAAAAATTTTCATAGCTCAACTCATTTTTCATCAGAAATTAGCTAAATCTAGGCTATTTCTAGCTTGAAAAAACTCCTAGTGGGGCTCGAACCCCCGACCTTGACTTTGCCTGGCGGTTGTGAAGATGAAGATTAATAGTTTCAGCTAACTAATGCAAAGTAATACATGTTATAACAAGTGCTAATTTGCATTGTATTGCTACTGTTTATGTGTATACTTGATTACTTGAAGCATTTTATCTCGTTGCGGCTGTGCAGTGAAATGCTTTCTATGGTTTTTTTAATCCAGAAACTGATTATTTCTAAACTAAAAAACAAATAGATCATTTCTGCGCAGAAAATACGAGGAAACTTGGCTCTAGAAAAACAGCCTCTATTGGGAACGGGTAAAACTTTTGTTTGTGAAACCCAACGATAGATCCTGAAACTTTGTTTGTCTCAAATCTATCTAATTCTTCAAATCACTGAACTACTATAATTCTCCATATTTTGTTAGCATTTGCAATGAACAAACTCGAATTCCAGGCGTGTTTTGCTTGTTTTGTATTTAAATTGGGGATGCAGACAATTAGCTAGTTATTTCAATATTCCAAAAGAAATCGAGATACGACTGTATCTTATGGATTTAAACCTTAATTGCTGGGGCGATGTTTATCCTAATGGCTGATATGGTGACTTTTTATCTAATTGCTTATTGTGATTTTCATCTTAACTGCTTGAATAACATGAATAACACACCTGTTAACAAAGTTTAATGTTCAAACGATACAAAAAAGTAACTACGTGTTACTTGATTCCTCAACGCGATTGACAAAAAGGATCATTCGTGCAACCCCCACCCTATTTGATCTACCGGAGAATGCTCTCCCCAAGCATGTATTAATTCTCGAAAATAATAATGTACAAAAAACGCATTTCATTCAAACGCGAAAAAAAATATATACATTTTTTATGCGGGATTACATTTTGATGTTGTTAATTACACAGAAGAACGTTTTAATTTAATTATTTTTTGTAATACGGGTTAATTTAGAACAAATCTAGGCTATCTTCTAAATAAGGTTATGAAAAATCCATATTTTTGTTTGATAGTCAAGAAATGTGGTTTTTACTGCATAAAACCCAAAATTTTTGCTTAAAAACATTTTGGGCGAGCTTTTGGAGATTCAGCCGTTCTAGAAGTTTGTTGGGATGTGTAAAAGGCTTCGTGTGATACAGTTTTCTCAACTATTAACAATGTAATTTCAGCGTAATTCTTGATTAATTAAAAAAAGCAAAACTGATCCATTTTTGGGGTAAATTTTAGGCTGAGAATTTTGGAAAAAAATTGCACCCTATTAATTCTGGTGAAATTCTAAGCAACTTTCAAGCTCTTCGCTTTTTGTCTGATCTTAACACAATTTGAGAAAAATGCGTTTGAAATTTTAAAATTTTTCGTTTTGTCCGGTAAGGTTGTTAAGGTGCTTTAAGGTATTTCTTATGTTGAATTTTCCTTAACTTTTTTAGTTGTAGTGAATTGTTTATGTGAATGACTCACGCTCCACCATGCACTGGTTTGTTCATCTGGCGACTGGAGTCTGCAGTGACGTCATCCATCAGTCTCCTCTGTCTGTTGAGAGTGTTGTGCAGTCTCACGTGTGTGTTCTTCAGGGCACAGAGGTCATTGTCCGCCACACTCAGCCTACTGATGGAGTATCTAGAGTTGAACAGAACATAACAGGAAGAGAGAAGGGAACAATGCCCCCAACATCACTTTTGGGAGAGTTAGACTGGAGCATGCAGACCCAAACACAATATGCTCCTCCAGAAAAAAGTGGTCCAGGACACTGCAGTAATGATATGATATTTACACTGTTTGACGTTCACAATTTTGTTCGTTGTTTCCAAAACTGATCCCTTGAACAGACTCGGTCACAAACGAACACGCGTGCAGAAAATCCCATTCCCCCTAAGTGATTTCTGCTATTCAACTAATTCGAACGAATAAAACCCAATTTTGAATCAAAACCTATTTAAATGGTTAAATCGAATTTAAATTGGAGTTACCTTCAAAAATTAAGATAAGTTTTGCTGAGTTTATGTCATTGTTAAAATTATTTAAAATGGTTAAATAGAAAAAAAAACAGAGCGGAGATTTATATAAAGACTAATGAAAATTGGTGTGTCATCAGTTCTTACAGTGGTCTTTTTAATAAAACTTTAACGAACGCTATTTTCTAAAATAAATTTGGTTTCCTGAACACACAAGTCTTCCCGGGTGTTCTCGGAATACAATCTTCCAAGGATTCACTTTGCCAGATTCTTGCATGGTTTGCATTCCATTTGCAAGAAATAAGCAAGATTTTGGATTACGAAGTTATTAGGAAAAATTTTTTTGCTGTTTTTTGTATGTTCAGTGCTTTTTGAAGTTTCTGCTGGTCTCTAGGAGACACTCAGCAAAATCTCACAGCGGAGAATGCTTGATTATGTTTCCCCTAAGACGAAGGAAACATGAGAAACTAGCACGACCGCATGCAAAATCAATATTTTTGAAGGTAAGTACTTCATTTTTGAGAAAAAAGGAATTGAATGCAATTTTCCTCACAAATAAACAAGGATAGCCGGTTTTTCTGCAATAAGCAGAGAGTGTTCCCACGATAGTCTTTAAAAAACAAACAAAAAAATGTTTTTCAAATTTGTGTAATATTTTCTTGATTTTGTGACAAAAGGATCTAACCAAAATCTAGATATTAGGCACATATTATACAGTCATAATAAAATATGCAAATTGAAAAACATTTTTCGATAAAAAATGACGGGAAAAACAAAAAAAACTTTAAAAGCTTACAAAAAAAATAAAAATTATTCTCAAAAATTAATTTGCTGAAATTTCTGGCATTTTTGACGATTTTGAATCGTAAAATTGCATCAAACTCTCAAAAGACGATTTTGCTTGGTTAGAAATAACATTTGGGAAAAATAAACTATTGTATATGAGCTAATTTAAGCATAATTAAGCGTGCTCGCTCGCTTTATTCGCTCGCTTTATTCACTCGAAATTATTCAATTGGACAAAAAATCAAAAATTTCAAACCTTTTCTTTCGACACTGAAAAAAAATTTTTGTAACTTTTTATGTCGTTCGATTCACAATTGAAAGGGAGCTAAAACTATATATATCTCGACCCCTTCCGATGGTTGTTTGTGGCACCTGATTAATGGTGAAAAACACCCGAATACAAAATTCTTCCAGATTTTTCAAATGGTCGGAACAAAACAATATTCAAAAGATCTTTTGTAGATTTTGGAACTGAGCCCTAGCCCTCGCAGTTTGAATACACCCTAAAATGAGCGGTAAGGCTTCTGTATGGAGGAGTTTTACCTCAATCAATTTAGTTTCTTGTCAGTTATTATACCTAATTTGATTTTGGGTGATCAATTTAGTTTCTTGTCAGTTATTATACCTAACTTGACTTTGATGGCAGTAAATTGTGTTAATTTTCAGGGGCAGAGTTAGGAGAAGGAGACTGGGTGGGACGCCCTCTTTCTTAAATATTCGACCCACTGACGACCCAAAGGTTCCCCCCTCTGTATTTTTTGAAATCTCCATTTTAGGCTGACGGACCCTAAATTTTTTCTAAAGTGCAATTTTTTTTGTCAAAATTTTAGAAAACGTGCCTAAAAACGCCCTTTTTGGTCATTTTTTTTTCAAAATTTTGCAGGGTATTTTTTAGTGAATTGCGAAAGCTCGAAATCAATTTGGAGGGCCTAAAAAAGGTTGAGAAAATTTTTGAAAATTTACTTGACAATCCGCCCCCTCGAAAAAATCATAGATCCACCCCTGTTCATTTTAACTAAAAATCCATAACTATGTGTTTATATTCTGAAGCATGCATACCAAAAAAAAATGTCATTTTTTTTTGCAAATCGCAAAGAGACAGCTTTCAATTAATAACTGATAACATTGGTTTTCAAAACATAAGTTGTTTCGCTGCTCCCACTTTTAAAAAAAACAACACAGATCATCTGTTCTTGATAGAAAAAAATTATCAGGCTCATCGTTTTTAAAATAGATTTTAACAAATTGTTATACTATTTAAAGAATATTGATACTTTGAGCTCAAAGTTAAAAAGAACATGTCATTTTCTCATTTGATACTGTTTTTTTTGATATAGCTAAACGAACTTTCATAATGTAGTTCGACCAGTTTGTTATATCAAGCTATGTATCAACTATACCAACTATGTATATCAAGCTAAGGGTTAGATATGCAAGTGGGTGTCCCCGCCTAACAGGTATAGGTTCGAGGCTTAGTCACTTTACGCATTTATTGCGCTCTAAGGGAGAGTTTTAAAATCAATATTCAAAGTTTTCAAAAAAATAACCCTGAGTTTTCATTCAAAAAATACAATGATTTGAAAATGATGTTAAAAAGTGGATTGCCCTTCAGAAGCAGAATTAGTTATGAAATGATACAATTTAAAATGTCAACATTTTTCGAAGTTATCTCATCAAAATCAGCTCAACTCATTTCAATTGCTTTGATATTTCCTGGAAATTAAAACGACAGCATTTCAGCATTTATAATTGTTCCGACCGATTGAAAACGTGATAGAACTTTGTATTCGTCTGTGATTCAGTTTTTTTCCTTTCTTTTTTTTGGTTTTCCACGCAAAATTAGGTACCAACAAAAATCATCAGAGTGGTTCAATATCATATTAGAGCCCTTTCAGTCGTGATCCAAAAGGCATTTAAAAACCCAAGTCGCGAAAAATTGGGTGGATTTTTTGATTGTTGGTTGAATTTCGAGCTAATACGATCAAATTTCAGGCTAACAAAAGCTTATTTAAGCCGTGAAAACTTAATTTTACGCAAGTATTTTTATTTTTGAGTTTTAATAACGCTAATTTGAGAATCAAAGTCTTCAAAAATTTGAATTTTTTTAATGATTTTTTTAAAATCTTCTTCCTTCAAACATTGTTGTCCAGTTTGCTCGTTTTAGTAGGACTGTCAAACACGCCTAAATTATAGTTTTTGTTCAGATTCTTTTATGACACCACACAGGTTATCAAACCGGCTATCTTTGTTTGTAATTTAAATTGGCTAAACTTTTTGCAAAACAGAGAAACATTTATATTATAAAACACAAATTGAAATATGTCGTTTTTGTCAAAAGCTACATCAATCACCTTGCATGGCAATCGGAAAAGAGGAGGAATTGCCCTAATCAAATGCCGTATCAAACATACTCTATGATATGGCACTCGAAAATTGAGGTACTCAAACAAATATGTACAGTTTTGCTTAGAAAATGTAATCAGGTTTAGTGAAAAATTAATATCCTAAAATGATTTACAAAATGATTTGTTCAGTTTTTTTCGCCTAAAATGAGGTATCATAAATTTTTATCCAAAAGGGGAAAATAGAGATTTGACCCAATCATACTATGCGGTATTTGGAAAATTTAACAATTACAAGTCGCTCTGCTTAATTAATATAATCAACTTTGGTGATAACATTTAATCCTAAAATACTTTACAAATGTTTTTTTTTTAAATTTTTCTACCCACAATGAGGGACCACAAATTATTATCCGATTTATTTCAGTCGTTTTTCCTAATAAAACTGTCTCAGTCGTGATTGAAACGGTTATATACAATTTTCAAAAAAAATCTCAGTGTCGTGGAAAAAAACCGTTTTCAACTTTTTGCTTTTTAGCTTTCTTCGCACAACATGTCAAACAAAATTCTTCACACAACAATGTCGTTGTATTTTTTGAGGTACTTGAACAACAGCGGTTTTCTGTTCTTATTTTCTCTGCTGTTCCGCTGTGAACGTTTTTTTTTTTGATTTTTTTTGGCTTTCAAAAGGTGTTTTATGCTTACAGTTGGTCATAACAAACTTTTTTGTGCTCATGCGATTTGCAGAAAATCTATGAAAAGCTATCCCGCCTGTTTTTGCTTAGTTTCCGTTTTCCCCCATATTCCAGATAGTTATTATGTCAAGCGAAGCTTTTTTGCTTTTTTGCGACTCAATGTCTTTTTTTGTGTTTTGAATTTTCACGTGGTACCACTATTGCAGCTGAATTTTGTCAGGTTGTGGTTGACCTGGAGCAATAGGTCAAGTGAGAGCCCTTCCTCACACACTATCAATGTCATTCAAGAGCCTCATTAAAGAGAGAGCTTCTGATTTGGTAAATAGCGTGCTTGATCTAACGAGATTGATATATCATTCCACACTGCCTTCAGTCGTGATAGGAGCAGTAAATATTTCAAAACAAATTCGAATCATGTCAAGAAAAATTGATATGAATGATTTTTTGCGTGCAGTTAATTCTCTATCGCGAGTCAAAGCTCAAAGATACCAAAATATAGGTGCTTGGGGTAATTTAAGCGATCAAAACTATTTCACACAACTTAAGTGTTTAACTCTTAGTCAAACTTTTATTCCTCCTCTGATAAAAAACTTCCTTGAAAACTTTTAAAACTTCCAAAATTTTCTCATTCAAAAAATCTAAAAAGTACCGGTGTTTGTATAATTTGAACATGATTAAACTATAAAAACAAACCTGGTTTCCTCCAACTCCTGCGTAGTTTGTTCAATCTTATGCGCCAGCTTAGAACACTTTTCGTTTTTTGACTTGAGGCATTCAACCAATTGCACGTTGTCATTGGCAGCTTCAAAGTATCTGTCTCGTTTCTAGTATCAAAATAAGGGGTCATTTTTACAAAGAGTGAACTAGTAAAAAAATATCCTACTTCGGTCGTGGTACTCTGAAAATCAATCGTGTCATAGTCTGAAAAATAATCGTAGCAGCCCGACGAAACTTAAAATTACGAGTGATCTTTCTAAAACAACGCAGATTATCTTCAAAAAAAAACAACCGCAGTTGTTAGCAAATCATCTTTGAAACAAAAAATAGTTAATTGTCTTTCAAACAAAAAAATATAAAACTAGAATTTTAAAGTGCTCTCTTGTTTTTGTGCTATAGGCTGTCAAAAGTATCAGAAATTGGAAATGTGAATCATTCGCTTGCCTCCCCTCCAAATCCCTCGCATGTTTTTGTTTACCTGGTCTGTGAACTGTTTCACTGCTTTCTTCTGCTCCTCTGCCTGCTCCTGCATCTTGTCTCTTTCGGCCAACTTGACAGTCATCTCTCTGATCAGCTCTGTCGTTTTTCGCACCTCGTACTCAATGTTGTCCATATCAATAGCTGTTGTCGTCATGTCTGCAACAGCAAAGCTGTTATATTTCCCTGCTACTAAGAATCAACGCATACCGAGTGACGGAAGAGGGGGAGGAAAGGAGTGTACACGACTTTTCTTGCAACTATAGGAGAATTTTTCCAATTATTTCGAGTTTTTTTTGTTTTGTCCGGATGGTTAAAACCAGCACCGAATTGATCTCACTAAATTTAAAGAGTACAATTGATTTTACCTTTTTTCTCGCTGACATTATCAAGATGAGTCCCGTCCACTGCTTCTGATCCTCCTCCGACAGTGATCGGAGCCTTCGACTCATTGCGTTGACTGTGGGGGTGTGAAGTTGGGATTGGAGCAGAGGAAAAAGCACTTTTGCTTCTCATTGTGCTAATGGTGGCTGTTGTCGTGGTGTCTGAGTAGGACTTCGGCTGCTGTTGTTGTTGTTGTTCGAACTTGCTCACGATGGTATTGATCTTTCGCTGTGCTATGTCGTCCGCCTTTAGTTCAACAGCCTTTCATTTATAAACAACTCAATTGATTCAACTTAATTTATAAACATTCAATTGCTCAATGGTTCTAAAATGCTTTGTACTGCTATCAAAAAAATCAGATGAGTTTAACTTTAGAAACTGAAAAACATTCTTTTTGGATATTTTTTTGAAAAAAGATTCCTGGTTTTAAGTTTCAATTTGCATTCAACAAACTGAAACCCTTCTTGAACTTGTTCACTGGTAACTGCTGCATGGGTTCATTTGAGTTTCTTTGGTCTAAAAAGTATCCATCATGATCCACAGGTGTTACATACTCTCTGAGCACATGCCACAATCACTAGAGTCATCACTCATGACGTAAACAGGTACAAGAAAGGATAATGGAACGGTTAAACTGGCCCAGTGAGCTTCAAGGCCAAAATGAGTTTCTGGATAGTGATTATGGACAAAAGGGTTTTCCTGTATTTCATAAAATAAGTGATCAGCAGTATAGTCACTCACTGAAAGCACCACGAATGCTTAATTCAACTGTTCGACTGGGCTTACATTAAAACGTATCAGGACAGAAGAACAGCAACTGCAATTGTCAAAAATTGCGTAGCAAGGAACCGCTTGGTTGTTGTTGAATAAAGTTATGGGCACAAACTGGAGTTGGTTTTTGAAACCGGACTTTGTATTCACTTGGTTTTCCAAATTGATAATGTTGTTTGTCTGAGTATACCGCTGCGATGTTTTAATCTGATTCCTATGTATATTAGAGTGGTGTTTTCCCCCGCAGTTGTCTATGATACAACGTCTTGAAGACGTACAGTCAGTTGACCCATGGTTACCCAGGCAGTTGAAGCACAATTGTTTGTCCTTCACTTATTGAGTTTTTGTTGCGTAGTCAGCTTTACAAAAGCTGAACAGTGTCCATTGACATGGTCTTAACTGTCCAGTGGACATAATCATTTCAATTTACCTTGGTCATTCTTGAAGTTATCGTTTTTTTTGGTATGCTGGCTGTTACGCATGGTTACGAAAGATTTTTTTTGTTGGTTGTTTTTCCAATCTTTGTTTACCGTAAAAGGGCGTAGTGCATCGGTAAAATGTCTATGTTCTCGCAAGCTGTACAGTAGTTAGTAAGCCTGTCCGTGAGGTTTTTGAATGTAGCATAGTCCATCCCATTATGTACGCAGTATTCTTCCCACTTGAAAAAGGCTGCTGGAGGAAACTTAGAGCGAGCAAGTCGAGTAAGATTACTCGAGTTCAAGTCGGAAGAGTAGTTATTTAGTTCGGAATTGTGCACCAGCTTACGTAGAAAAGCAGCGAACCTAACGAAGGTTTAAGGTGATTAACATGCAGTTGCTCAAAATTTTCCAAGTCCCTAGTATAAGCTGCAACAACGAAATTAGGGTTGCCACATCTGCGAGTTAGCTCCTCTATTGTTTGAACAAACTGAGAAGAATTCGTGCCGTAGCTCTCCACAACGTTTTTTGCTTTACCTTAACACAGGGACTGCTTTACCTTAACACCTCAAACCTATAATTCCATTCTAATGTTTTACCGTCTAAGTTTGGGAGCTTAATATCAGGAAAATTGAAACCGTATAGACTGCAATCAAAAGTGTTGTTGATCTTGTTCTGATCAGATGAACGGAGGCCGTGATTGACTGGAGTCACGAATCTTGAACACGGTCCATCCGTAGGGTGCACGTTGAGACCATTAGCACCAGTCTATGGCTGTTGTAGTGATCATATCCAGGGAACTTTGGGTTCTCATAGAACCAATTCGATCGTATATATCATCACATTGTCGTCAATGTGATGGCCATGGAAACTGTTGCAAAGATCTCGAGATATCTGAAGTGGTGTATACTCCTTGAGAATTGTAGTCGTAGCGGGTTGGCTGGCAAAACGCAAACGGGTTAGATGGTACCGTTGTTGTAGTAGTATCAAAACTAATGGCTGCGGTAGAAACGTTGTACGTGTTGTAACAAGCTGTAGTGGAAGTTCGCACGGGAAGACTACTGTTGGTGGGGATCGTATGTGAAGATAGTTGCAGAGTAGAGAGACTGGGGGAGTCATCTATCTGTATCGCGTTTTAGTGTTTTTTTGTATAATCGCACTTGTTTCATTTGCAAAAATTTGCGGCTTCGCAGTAAAAAGGCATCGCTAGAGGGCATGACGCTATATCGTCTGCAATTCTTCCAACTCTTGCAAAAGCTCGTTAGCCGTTATTTTAACATCCTCTAATTAGGTATGTTGCGCAATTTCGCTGCTTAGTTGTCGTTCAAGACTCTCAAGAGAAGTGTAGCGAAACGTTCATTTGCTTATGAGCGCTTGTTGTGAGATTTTTGAAGCCATCCTAAAGTAGTCAAAATGTTGTTGGAGTGGTATCATAAGGTTACCAGATATGTTATGAAATGGATAAAAATCGATTTAGGTATCAATTTTTTTGTAGACAAAAGATACGAACAATCCTGTTGGAACTACGAGCGTGCGTAACTCGTATAAAGATTTTAAAAGCTTTTGAGAAATATGAAATATCACGTACCTCAAGTATTAAGTACCAAGTACATTTGATAGTTTTTTAGCGGTGTAACTTAGCTGAGAATACAGTTTAACTTTTTGAATAAGTTGAGAATTTTTCTTAGACCTCACTGGTTCAAGTTTTTAATGGAAAACTTATGCTAGAGTCTTCTTATGTTTTTTCACAAGTTTCCAGAAATCTTTTGGTATGGTACGGTACAATGATTTCACTTTTTTTGGTTAAGAAAACTTTGGATATTGGGCTTGGGCTAACAGTTTTTTTAACCGGAAGTGATCTACTTTTGCACACCGAGGATTAACGACTAGTAAAGTAAATTACAATGAAAGCTATAAGTTTTAAAATACTGCTATAGATTAATTTTTCTATTTGCAACTATAGCACAATTATGGGTTTGAACAGTTCGAATACGATTTTCGAATTATTAGCACTCTCATGAATATTGAAAATGTAGCCAATTTTGTTTTGGAAATAGTTGTTTTTTAACAAAAAAGGACTGGCCTGATTGAAGGCGATAGTTACGGTAAACGAAAAAACGACACAATACAGTGTTGTCTATGAAAGCTTGTACCAGAATGAAAGTTCCATAAACATTTCCTAAAAGTCTATCTACCCTGATTTGCTGTGATCCTGACGCTGAGGGGGACAGCTGGGTTATCTCTGAGACTGGGGGGACTCCTGAGAGTGTCCTTGATGTAGACTTTGATGTTTCCTTTTGGAGGGGGGACCTCTTAGACTAGTATTTATCCTTTGTGTTAGGCTCTTGATGAGGCGAATGATGATGATGATGGTAGCCCCTGGGGGCATCAGAGACTGAGGTACCGTGTGAAGTTGGCCTCGGTATCTTTTGACAGTTTTTTGACGTATGACGCTTTTTGGTGTACGTATCCTCGTGGCGGCTCTTATATGATCAGCAATTGCTTTGGTCTAGCTGACTGCTCATAAACTTACAAAACTGCACGTTAACTCGAAATCATATCCAATTAGTGAAGAAAATCGATTATTTAAGAACGGTGTAACTTCGTTCTGTCTTTCAGAGAAAGTGAGGAAAACATAAGCTTGGGTTGGTTTCAATGAAAACCAGACCAATTTTTCGAAGCAAATTTGGCGATCGAATAGGCTGATCTCAGAATTGTGGACTGCCAAGCAAAAGAGCTGGCAACTATTCTCATGCAATTGGAATTGAGCGATTATCACTTTATTGTTTTTTTTGCAATTTTTTGATATGCCGTAAATTATCCTTCACTCATAGTTTTTCCAAATTGAATTGAGGCAAGTAAAGTTATCATATTATTTCGTCTCAAATTTGAGCACTTCAAATTTTTCATTGGTGGTCTAAATATTGTTGTTTAGCAAGGTTCTATTTCACAAAATCTAGTCGGAACCGGGCAATGTTTACGCCACTGAACGGCTGAGTTCTGGGACCGAAGTCTGCATGCGGCTAACGACTGTGTTTGCAAATCTGCGCAATGTTTGAAGAATTAAGCACTTATGATGGTCGAATCTCAAGCGCTCGCTCAGCTCTTTCTGATCAGCTGACCGCCTGTACTAAGTTGGCGAGACCAGAAAAAGGGGGCCGTTGTTCTATAGTGTTCCGTTACCGAAGGTAAAACTATGGATTGTAAGGTGGGTAGCTATACAGCTTGCTGCCCTTTAAAATCAAGTTGCTGGTTAGCTAGCTAGCATCTCAGCAATGCCCATTCATGGATAAAGTGAGACTGAGAAACACAGCAGTTTCGACATAACTATTTTATACCATCTAAAAGATATTGTTAATCAGAGTTCAATTTAAAAAAAAATACCTGTTATTATTTTCCACAAATTTATGATAATTAAAGCACAATATATTTTAAGCTATTAACGCTTAAGCGGCAATTCATTCGGCTCAAAAGTTGTTCCAAATTGAATTGAGTACTGCTAGTTGTTTTACATAATGCGCTTTTATATGTCAAAATTTATCTTTTTGTACTTTAAAAATTGATAACTCAAAAACAAACCAGATACTTTTATAGAATTTATCAACTTTGTTAGATTTTTTATCGATTTTTATTGGCGAATACATTTCCGTAGAAGTTCAGGGACATTCGAAAATTTCAGGGCTTTGCCTTGAAACGAGCACTGTTTTTTTTTTAAAAAAAGTCAACACTTCCAACCAATTTATCTCACCCCGACTTTTATCAAGGATGATGTGGATTTTTATCGTGGTTAATAAACTCTATGGTTACCCGCACTCAGTAAAAAGAGAAAATAATAGATTATAATGGATTTTTATTGTCAGTTTCCATGAATTTCAAAAGAAGAGATTATAATCGACTGAAAATGGATTATAATGTTACTATTTTTTGAAACAAAGAAGCCCATTATAATCGAATATAATCGATTATAATCGATTATTTTTTGAAAAAATGATATCTGAAGTTTTATTGAATTATAATCCATTTTAATCGATTATAATTCATTTTTATTCGAAAAAAAAAAACGTCATCGCTTCATTTCGTTTTTTTTTGTTTTGTTTTTTGTGCTGTTCAGTTGGTTTCTCTTCTTACTGTTTGCTGTTTACTGTTTACTTTCTTACTGTTTACTGCAAGAAGGACGGATTTAGGGGGGAGGGGGGGGGGGGCTTTTTTCAGGAATTCGACCTCCTGCCTGCCCAAACGGTTCTCCTTTTGTACTGCTTTGAGATATTCATGTTTGGTGACAAAATTTGTGGCCTTTGGCGCCAGTAAAAACTAATTTTGAGGTAAGCATGCGCCAAAAAACGCGGTTTTTGAAAAAAAAATCCAAAAAATGCTTAGAAAAACCGTTTTTGGCTTGTTTCTTCAAAAGTTTGCCTGCGGTGCACAAAACTTGGCCAAAACAGGGTCTTTTAAATGCTCTGGGAGAGCTCGGAAAATCAATTCGGTCGACCTAAAAAACGTCGATAAATTTTTGGAAGTTTTTTGAAAATCAGCCTCCACCCTTCGAGAAAGTCTCATATTCACCCCTGGTTTAATTATTGTTCCGACTTTCGTAACGAAAGTAACGAAATATTTGTGCTCGGGGTGGGTTTATTTTCTTCAGACAAAGTTCGACGTTTTAATTTGCCATTTTGACGGAACTTTTTTAAATATCATTCGAAAGCTATTGTTTTAACCTGAGCTTCAGTTTGAAAAGATATTTTAACTGTGATCATTTTTGTAAACTTATGGGGGTTTAAAGATTTCCATTTTGCTATAAACGCGTAGGCGAGATTTAATCCGTCTTAGAAATCGTTTTAAATTGGTTCAAGGAAGCTTATATGCCATATTTGATTTGTTAATAGGAGCAAAATCTATTTAAAATTGTTTTAATTTTATTTGATTAGGTTTAATTTTTTCATATTATTACTGCTTCATAGACCTTAAAAGGCAGTCGGAACATTCAGGATTTCGCCTTGATACGAGCAGTCTTGTTTCTTACTTCTTACTGGTATTTACCGAGTTTTCATGTAAAATAGCTAAATTATAATTCGTAATGTTTCATTTTTCTTGTAAAATAATATTGTGATAGAAAAAAGGATTATAATCTTTCATAATAGATTCATATAGATGATAAGAGATTATAAGACATTATAAGAGATTTTCGGAAAAATCATAATAAATTATAATTGATTATAATTTATCAAAGTGTCACCAAATATGTTATCATTATAATGTATTTTAAATCGCTTAAACATCTAAAATTGGCGCTTATGATTAATTATAATTTTGTTAAAAGTACGATTTTAATTATAGTATAATCAATTATTTTTTCTTTTTACTGAGTGCTGGTACGATAAAAGAATAGAAAGAGTGCATTTTAAGGCCTATGGAGCAGTATTAACATGAAAAAAAAATGAAATAAAACAAGACTGCTCGTATGAGGGCGAAGCCTTGAATGTATGAGGCCGACTGCCTTTTAAGGTCTTGGGAGCAGTAATAACATGGAAGACTTAAATGTAATAAAACAAAATTAAACTTTTTTCAAAAAGTTTGAGGTTTTTTTTGTGAAAACATCCCCCCACACGCCATATTAAGTACAAAGTGATAGAGTTTGCTCCTATTAACAAATCAATTATGGCATATAATCTTCCTTGTACCAATTTGGAACAATTTCTAAGACGGATTAAATCTCGCTTACGCGTTAATAGCGCGAATTATATCGCCCGTTAATTGTCCCAAATTGGCTAAAATGACCAAAATAGCAATCTTTGAACCCTCATAACTTTGAGAAAAATGATCACAAGTGAAATATCGTTTCGAAATTAAGCTCAGTACAACAATCGATGTACATGAGTCAATCACCGGAACTGAAACACCCCCCCCCCCCGCGCTGAGATCATTAATTCGCACCAATGTGGGTTCGCATATGTTCATAATGAAATGGCCTTCCTTACCAATTGGAAGGACACGTTAAGGTTGCTCCTGTTTCCCATGAAGCTTGCTTTGACCAGCGATGATTTGCGATAAGGGTTGTTGAATGACATATTCATTGATGACCTGCGCAGGGCGCCATTGAAGGTCTGGTTGCCTCTGCTGCTCACACCCTCAGTGGCTGCAGAGGGAGCCAGAGAAGAGCGCCTGTACCTGCCAGGGTCCGGGAGGGAGGAGGAGGAGAAGGGGAGGGGACTGGCGCTTGCAAAGTCTTCCTTCCCCCCTCGAAGCCCTGCCATCATTGTAGATTGAGTCCTGCAAGGTTTATCATTGTAATGATGACGTTAGATCAATATGTGTTATGATATATATTTAATATGATGTTATAGAGCGAGTGTCGAAGCCAATCAACCTGTTTCGCTATATTGAAAACCACGGAAAAAAAGAAGCTGCGATTAATTAGCACTGAATTGGCTCGGAAGTTATTTGAAATGGTGGTGCGTTATATACCAGGGGTGTTGGTGCGTTGCTCTTTTAATTTACTCATCGCTAATTTAACGATTGAATAGCTTCTACTTTTTGGATGACCAAGAATGAGCACACCGAAGATATAACAATGGGATCCAGATGCCAGATGGAATCCCAGCCATTCTCCTGATAATCTATATTTCGGCAACAGTGGGTTGATGAACACTACCTGATAGGAAAGATGATTTCATCTGAAGTCACCTGCATGAGTAAATGCGTGAATAAATGGCACCTTTGTAAAAAAAAAGATTAGCTGTATTATTTGGCCAGAGATATAATTAGACACAGAAAAAATATTGATACAAAAAATATGGTATAATCTCATGAATAAACACACAGTTTTGACTGTGCAAAAAGCAGCAAGCACATATTCAAGACGTAGCTATAAGTTTTATAAAGTTATTCAAATGTTTTTCTTCCATCTCAGATGAGATACTATAAATGATATCAAATATCAATTGTCTCGGGTAAGAAATTCTTTGTAAATTTGTATATACAAATCGAACATGTAAAAGCTGCCAATCCAGATTCGGATATTTTGTTCAACATTTTTTGCTAATAGTGTTCTACGAAAGCATAACAAACCAGGGTCGCAGTGCTCGTCATAAGTTTCGACTTTGTCGAAGAGAATTGCTTACACTCTGACCATTACAGCCAAACATAGCCATGTTTGAACCATCTCGACTAAAACTGAGTTAGTTTGACTTCCTTGACTAAAGAAAAAACAAGCACGACCATGTTCATTTCAGCTGAGAAAAGTTTCGACCAGCTGGACTCAAATTTGCCTCGTCTCAACTGTAACAACATTTTAACCGATAAAAAAAATCTGAAACAACCCGGGTCGAGGTGCTCGGTTTATAATTTGACTTTTTTAATCAAAAATTGGTATGTATCGACCGCCACGAACAAATTTTGGTAGTTTCAACTTTCTCGACCAAATTTCACTATGTTTCGACTTTTTCGACCAAATTTTGATTTGTTTCGACTTTCTCGACTTAAAAAAGTGTTTTTGCTCGACCCACTTCAGATGTGTTTCTACTTTTTCGACCAAATTTCTTTTACACGACATTTTGAAAAAGTTTATTTTGAGACTCTGGATAGATATGATTTGACTTTCTCGACCATAATTGGGTATGTTTCGATTGTCTCAATTTTCTTGACAAACAAAAAAATATTCTCGTTTTAATGTCGACTGTAGTTGCTCCAAAAAACTGTTTGACAGGATTTTTTGGTCTCTCACATCTACTTTAACCTTTCATTTCAAATTTTGTAGTTTTACATATCAATCAAATATTTCAGATAGTGAGAAAGTTTTACGCCTTTATAAAGTTTTTCCCTTTTTTGTAAATGTTTCATTGGTACAGACGTTTTGTGGAAACGGTACCAAAATTGTCAAAAAATTCTGCTGCACTTTTGTTTTGCCTATACTCGACCTATGCCTTGACTGTGCTCGAACTATGAATCGACTGGTCCCGAATCAGATGTCGAGAAACTGCTGTTTAGATTGTGCTCGACAAAGGTTTCGACTATGCTCGACCTATTTTTCGGCTGTGCTCGAACTATGTTCCGATTGTACTCGACCTACGCTTCGACTGAGCTCCACTGTGCTTGACTTATGTTTTGACTGTACTAGACGTATGGATCGGCTTTCTAGGCCTAAAATGGAAAAGTTTCGACTACGCTCGACATATGTTTTGACTTTTTCGACTTTCTGGACTATCAAATATCATAAGTAATTTAACAAAAAGTTTTAATGTATGCTCCTCGATTATTTTTTTGTGATGATTTTTCTCAATTGATTTTTGCGATATGAAAAGAAACTATAAGAAACTCTATACATCGAAATTCCTGCATCAAAAACTTATTCTTTCCAAATTGAATCTTTCAGCTTTGCTTTTTTTCTTCGCAAATCTAAGTTGTTGATGTAAAAACTGATGCTTGAGGACTTCAAGTTGGGTTTACTTTTTCTTGTCGCAGGTATGCTCAGATTTTCAAAATTTAAAGGGTTCCCCCTAAAACTTTTAGTTTTGTGGCAAGCAAATCTTCTCAATTGATTTTTGAGCACTCCAACTTTTTGACCGCGGATTTTTCTGAGCAGATTTTTTTCGCTCACATTACAATTCAAATTTATTAAAAATCATTAAAGAAAACAAAACAAAGTTTGTGAAAATTAGTTTATGCTTGACGTATTTTCTATACTTTCCTGGCCAAAATCAGGTTTGTTTCGGTTTCACTGATCTATGTTCTGAATTTTTTTGACCAAAACCGGTGTTTTTTTGAAATTGTGCTTGACCTAAAATTGATTCGAGATGGCGAAATTTCAGTCGGAAAACTGCACTTGTGGGAATTTAAGGCGGAAATCCTAATGGAGCACCTCGACCCGGGGAAAAAAGCTTATCAGTTTTTTTTTGGCACAAATGTTAGCCTCAAACGATGACTACTGTCGAGGTTCTTGGTTTATGTTTCGGTTTTTCGACGACAAGTCGATGTGTTTTGACCATCTCGATCAAATTTTGGTACGTTTTCTTCGAATTTCTCGACAGAAAGTGGACATGTTTCGACTTTTTAGACTTTCTTGGCTATCAAAAGACAAATTAAATTGACAAAATTTTATAATGTTGCTTTTCAGTTTTTTCCTGTGATGATTCTTGAACTGAAAACAAGCTTGAGAATCAGTTAGATACGTTGTTTTAAGCTTTAATCAGGTATACTCCAGACAGCACTACTACACTATTTTGCTTTCCCAGCTACTTTGTAGAGGAACTGAAATACATTTTTCCCAATTATAGTCACCTTGCTAAGTGCCCTCACAATTTTGTTCCTTATAAAATTGATTTTTAAATCTTCGGTTGTTAAAAAAACAACAGCAAGTTGTTTTTCTAACAAAGTCACTTAGCATGGATGGCATGGTTGATACATCTGTTGTTTGTCCTTCCTAATTTTTAATTGCTTTTCGACAAAGTTTCTTTTTAGCTTTCTCAAAAGGCTACTCGCAAATCCAACTCTCTGTCGAATCTTCACTTTTTGTGTGCTTTTGTCCGATGTAAACTTATTGCCTCCTTTTTCGATGTCCTAACAACGTTCGCCAAGTTTTACGAAATAATGATTCCCGTTGAGTTGTACGAGATGCAATACATTTTGACCTGGAGTCATTGGTTGTACCTGTTAATGGAATGTACCTGAACCAATAACATTTAGCCCATTAATTATTGAGCAACGTTGAAACTGTGGCTAAAACCATACTGTTGTTGATTTCGGAAAATTGATGTGGTCAAGTTGGAGCAAAAACGAGGAACTGATAGCACGCACAAATTGCTTGTCTGCCCAGAATTTTCTTTAAAAAAACTATATCAAACAACCAGACTCTATTTCTACCCGGACAAAAACTGACAAGAGTAAAAGAAGCAAAAAACGTTAGAGTTGAGAGCAGACGTTTGGGTAAACCTAGCCTACGAGAGAGGTTGCAACACTGTGACAATTCAAACAGATTTCTCAGCCAGACCCGGAAAAAACACAACAAGTGGAAATCAACCTTAAGACAACAAAACTGCTCGCATCAGGGCGAAGCGCTGAATGTTCCGACTGCCTTTTGAGGTTTATGGAGCAGTAATAATATTAAAAAACTCAATGAAATGAAAAAAAAAATTCTAAAATGTGAAATTTTTTATGAAAATCATGAGTTATAACCGATGTGGTTAACTCATAGAGTAATTTCGGATAGGGTACACCGTCTGCTCGTCACGCTATCTTATTTTCGGCCGGATAGATTCGTGCAACTTCTTAGTCTAATACCGATCCTAATCTTACTCTTATACTATCTAGTCTCAGGTTGTTTAACTAGTCTCTGCTAGGCTCAATAGATCTAGGGTATACTGGTTTATTGCGGCTGCTGAAGTTCTCTTGGAGAGGCAACTAATTTCTAAGTTAAATTCAAATCTCTCTGGTGCTGAAATTACAAGTAATCTCAGCACTTACAAATAAGTGGGTTGTTAGTTAGATGGATCATGATTGGTTAATATTAAATACTTTACAGTGGTAAAATATCTAATTTATCCAATCATAAAATGTAGTTTAGATCAGGTTCCACCCATCCGGGTTTTACAGAGTTTTTTAGAATAGTTTTTCTGCAATTCAAAGGATGGATGATGGACGTTGGTATTTGGCGAACATCATATTTCTTCTGGGTTCTCCTGTTAGAGAAGTTCCAGGATCAATCGTTGTGTCTTCTTATGACAACGACTGGGTTTTCTCAACAAACTCAAATCTGATTTCAGAATGGTTTGCTATGACAGGTTTTTCTGTTTCATGTAGAGAACTTCTTTTGTGTTCAACCTCGTCTGGGAATGGCGTGGAGATTGTGCGTGGAGGGGATGCCTGGTTACTCGGATCTGTACGTATACTTGAACATCGAGGTGGTCATTGGTCTAGTTCAATGAAGTCCTTTTCTGCGAAGTCAAGTCGTACTCTAAATCCTTTGAGTTGTGATTGTGGACGGCATATCGGTTGTGGTTGGCCATTCTTTTTCGAGTGTAGTGGGGTCATTTTTGTCTTTGGATGTTCGTCTTTGGTGTTGTATGCTGATCTATATACTGCAAGGTATAATTTACATTTTATAAAATTTTTATTATTTCGGTGTTTTAATTATGATTTTGGTTAGTTGTTTTCACAAAAGCTTTTTGTTTTAGTTCGGTTATTTTGAAGAGTTACTCACCCTTGAGTACCTCTTATTAAAAATAGAAGTGTGGTCACAAAGCGTGGATGTAGCGCGGTGGGTTAGGCCGGCTATAGAGCATGCTCAGGACGTCCTCTCTGGTGGGTTAGGCCAGGAGTGGGAGTACGATTTCGTGCGGTTTCTGTGAGAGGTCCTGTTATGTGATAACGTTTTATGTTGGGTTTATTGTGGTTTTTCTTATGTTTCGTTGGTGGTGTCCTTTTTTCAAAAATCAAATTGTTTTTGGTATGGGTTTGTCTTTCGACTTTTTTGTGTTTTATTATTTCTTTCTTAGACTTTATAATAGTCTTCAAAAGAATAAATTATCCAGTTTTAAACTGGGTTAATCCGGTTTGGGTACCGTTGGTTTCCTTTCCTTAGTCATGCTGTTATTCTATGATTTGTGGTGTTTAGTAAGCTGCATTGGTTAGTTTTGTTTAGTATATAATTCCTTTCCAACCGGGTTAAAGGAAAGTTTGAAACGTGTTATCGTGTGTTAGAGTTGTTGAGTGTGAAAGCTTGAAACTGAAATTCATTATTTAAACAATTCTTCGTGGGCGAGCTGTGCGAGTTTGGATAGAATTTTTGTGCGACTGAATGGAAATATC